TGGACTGAGCCATGTCCAAGGGCTACTGTGGGCTCAGTGGGTCTTTAAGGCAGCCTGTCTGCTGGTGGGTAAGGCTGTGTCCCAGCCCAGTTAATTGCTTGGCCTGAGGATTCCCAGCATTGGTGCCTATAGGCTGGTGGGTAAGTGCAGGGCTGGGTCCAGAGACTAAAAGCTAGAGGGAGGATTCCAAAATGGTGTTTGCCATCACCAGTGTCCATGTTGTAGAATGAGCTCCCAAAAATGGCTGTTGCCGGTATTGACGTCCCCAGGGTGAGTTCCAGTTTCCTCCTGCCTCTCCAAGAGACTCTCCAAGATCAGGAGGTAGGTCTGACCCAGACTCCTTTCAAATTGCTGCTTCTGCTGTGGGTCCCAGGGAGTGTGAGATTTTGTTTGTGCTCTTTAAGAGTGGAGTCTCTACTTCCCATAGCCCTCTGGATCTCCTTAAAGTAAGCCCTGCTGGTCTTCAAAGCCAGGTGTTCTGGGGCTCATCTTCCAGCACAGGACCCCCAAACTGGGGAGAACCTTGACAGTTGTAATTATTCTGTCACCCAGGGGTCACCCACCCAGGGGTATGGGTCTTGAATATACTGCAACTCCACCCCTCCTACCCATCTTGTTGTGGTTCCTTCTTTATATCTTTAGTTGTAGAAGATCTTTTCTGGTAATGATGCCGAAAAACTCGCCCTCTGTGCACCAGTGCCAAATCAAATCTCAGAAACAGAGTTTTAGGTGAAGTAGAAAAGAGGAGCTTTATCACTTTGCCAGACAAAGGGGGACACAGTGGGCTCATTCCCCTCAAAAACTATATGTTCTAACCTGGGAGAATTTAGTAAGGAGTTTTATAGCAATGGTTCAAGGGTGGAGTTGCTGATAAGATTAGGGTGTGTGCAGGGCCTGCCCTCCTTTAATCTGGTCTCAGGTAATCTCTTGATGAGCTTCTCTGATTCCTTTACTCTGGCTTCAGGTGGTCTTCTCTGGAATGAAGAATGCTAACACCTTCCATTTTTTGGAGGTTTTAGTTCTGTAAAGAGCTCAAAGATATTGTTATGTGTATCCCTTGAAGCAGAACCAGACCCTTCCCCAAGGTTGCACTATTGTATCTTGGCTGCTTCTCCCTTGTCTCTGCATCCCCTCTCTTCCCTGATTAGCAACAGTTCGAATCTGCCATTTGGAACTCAGGGAAGGTCATGAAGGCTGGAGTCTGTTCCCTACAAACAAGAAATGGGGGGCATGGAAAGTCTTCCATGCCCAGGAGCCCCACAGGGTCCTGCCTGGTTTCAGTAGGTTCCAGTTTTTTTCATCAATAGTTTTTCTGCAAATAGTTGTAGTTTTTGTGTGCCCATGGGAGGAGGTGAGCTCAAGGTCTTTGTACTCTATTTTGGGAACTCTCTCTTCTCTATATTTTAAAACAACTTCAAATGTCATCTCTTCCATGAAGCTTCTCTCGTTTTGTGAGCCGAATGCAGTCTATTTTTTCTGTCTTATTGACCCCATTGACATTTAAGTGCTCAGCATTCTCTATAATATGTTAAAGTTACTTATAAAGATGATTAATTTCTTCTACTAGATCATAAGCATTTTGAAGAAAGAGTCCATGTCTGATTAATCCTGGCAACTTTAATTAAAATTAGTACTCTGCCTTTCCTGTGTTAAAAGGTATGATTCAAAGATAAATCATTACTTTCATTCATTCATTCATTCTCTCCTTTATTTATTTATTCAGTAAACATTGAGCGCGCACTTTGTCCTAGGTTCTCTTCTAGGTACTTGTGTCATTAAGGAACTTTAACTTTGGTGAGGAAAGATATTTTATTAACAAATTAAATATGTAAAGTATATAGTATGTTAGATGTGATAAGTGCCATGGAGAAAAGTGGTTGGATTTTTTTTGTATTCAGTAACAGTGGAAGCTACTTGCATTGCCTGAGTTCATCCATCTTCAAGCATGGTTTCTGGTTGTGGAGCTACCATTACTTGTTAAATGACACATAGTAGGGAACAACATATGGAGTAACTTGCTTTCAATTCCTGCCACCAGGGTCACTGTTTCAAAAACAAACCATAGAGAGCTGAGCACATGGGGCTGCAAAGTACTGACCACTTCAATCTTCTTATTTTACCTTTGTGACTGAGTTCACTGATCTTCTCAGGGTTTCCATTTAATGGAATTTGATTTTTTAAAAGATCCATGACTGAGTTTTTAATGTCTTTCCTGATGTCAACAATTCATCAAGGATTTTCTAATTATATTACACTCCTCTGAAATTGCACATTCATTTCACACTTCTACTCTGGAGAAGACACACTCTAAACTTAACTTGTCTACCATAGTGACAATATCTAATTAGAAGGAAGACTAAAAAATTCCAGTTTTGACTGTATATTTTTTAAAATATCATATTTTACTCTCTGTCATTCTTTTATCAAATCTTTCTTGTGCATCAGCCTGTAAGAAACACAGAATAAAATTCCATGACTGTGTATTTTCCCTCTCCAAATGCATTTGAGTATAAATCATTTCATTGACTTTAAATTTCTGAAATTGCATATATGTAAATACTACTGGTGAAAAATTTTTAAATAAAAAGCCAACTAACTTCTACTCAGATATCGCCGAGTAAATGCTCTGAGGAGATTCAGATTTAATTGGAGAGATGTAAAACTAGTCCAATTTTATATTATACTTGAAAAGATTACCTTAGGTATCTTGTACCTTTTAGTCTCATATAAAGACTTTGTAACTATGAATCTCTATCAATTAGAATTAAATTTTTTTTTTTTTTTGCGGTATGTGGGCCTCTCACTGTTGCGGCCTCTCCTGTTGCAGAGCACAGGCTCCGGACGCGCAGGCTCAGCGGCCACGGCTCACGGGCCCAGCCGCTCCACGGCATGTGGGATCTTCCCGGACCGGGGCACGAACCCATGTCCCCTGCATCAGCAGGCGGACTCTCAACCACTGCGCCACCAGGGAAGCCCTAGAATTAAAATATTTTTAATTAATGAATCTCATTTTAATTGGAATAAATTTTTACCAGGGTATCGACTGTTTTAAAAAAGAGTTTAAGATTTAAAAGATACATATTTTTTCTATGTAAAAATAGAAGTAAGAACCCCAATATCAATAAACTAATAAGAATCCAAAAGAAAACTATAAAATAGAGAATTCAAGTGTGTTCTCTTTAATTATTTATAACTTTTGGATCATTCATAAGCTTTAGCATAAAGTGAATTTTACTGATACAGTGTTTTTGTCTGTTTGATTGTTTACTTAAGAAGGAATGCTGGTAAAAAGTTTTTATGAGTCACATGAAAGTTTATTCTCAAGACCTTGTGAAATGGAGCAGGACCGTGTGGGGACCTCCCAAGTACAAATTCCTTCCATGTCCCCTGTTTCTTGTTTGTAGAAAATAGGCTTCATTCACTTCATTCAGCCTCCCTGACCTTCCCAGAGTCCCAAAGGGCAGATTCAAATAGTTGCTTATCAGGGAAGGGAGGGAATGCAGAAACAAAGGAGTAGCAGTCAAGAAACAATAGTGCAGATGTGGGACAGAGTCCTGGTTCCTCTTCAAGGAATATAAGTGACACCTTTAAGTTCTTCTGTAGGAACTAAGGCCTCCACCCAGGTGGAGGATGGTAACTTCAGGCTGAGCACAAGGTTCCTGGAACACTGCCCTGTTACCTCACCACCAACCAATCAAAAGAAAGTCTGCACATAGTGGAAGAAAACGAAGACTCTGACTCACCCCCCAAATGACTCTCCCTTTAAAAACTTTATGGTTGATCAGAATCTTCAGAATTTGTTTTTGAACATGAGTCCACCTTTTCCCCAGGTTGCCAAACTCCTGAATAAAGCAACCTTTCCTTTTTTAACCAACACTTGTCTCTTGAGTACTGGCTTTCGAGCAGCAAGCAGCCAAACCTGAGTTTGGTAACACTTGCATCAGTTTTTTTCTGAATTAAAAATCATGCAGTCTTATTGATGGTAGTTATTGGATGGATTTACTTTGTCCCTGGCACTTTACATGTAGGTTCCCATTTTATAGACAAGGAAGTTCAGTCTCAGGAATGACAAATGATTGCTTCAATTCATTTAGCTGCTAAGTAGAAGAGCAGGACCTCAAATCCATGTCTGCCTTGTCCTAAGCCTTATCTCTTTACTTTGTTCCCTATTTCCTCATCATAGAAAGGCCACCTTTCCAGGTCTTTTGATATTTCTATCTTTACTTTTACCTGTCACCTTTGTATGAAAAAATAACTTGGTGTAGTGGTAACAAGAGTTTCAACTACAGTCTTTTGTTTGATTAAAAAATAATAGCACTGTACCTCAGATACTATGTACATATACTCATATACTGGAAAGTTAACAAAATAGACATGATTCTAAAACTCCAGAAAGCAGAAATGAAAACAGCTGTGGGAGCACAGACACAGAATTAGGAAATCTGTCCTGGTAGATTGGGGAGGTTTTGCCTTAGCTGATCTGTAAGAAGTGGGATTTTATTTGATAGAAAATAGGCACCAATAATTGGTAGTTTCCTTTCTTTCTATCTATGAATCTCATTCCCGAATTTATCAGTGACTAAAAGGATCTATGGAATACGTGGTTATAAAACTTGAATGTGTACATTCTTAGGAAGGCTAGATGTATTTTGTAATAAAAACTGATATCAGAGGAATTGTTCTCAAAATATGTTCTGGTCATTAGTTTTCATTAGGGCTCTTTTATTAGTATTTTTTTCTTTTAATCAACTTCAAATTGATCATTTTTCTTAACCTGCTCTAAACACTCACTGTCTATAAAATAGTGGTTTTGATGTGTTATTTTCTACTCATTGTAAACAATCAAACATGTTCAACATCCTTTGTTTAATTCATGCATATGCCACATAAAGTAATTTTGTATGCTACTACTGATATACATATCACACTCAGATATACTGTTTTTGTTTTAATTCTTGAGATGAATGACCTAATCAGCTCTTCTCATCTTTCTGATATAGGTCGCCAAAGAGATATGTTCCTGGATAGTCAATAAAATGACTGCTCTTGAATAGGCAGGTGTGGAACCACACTCAGTCCAATCAGTTGTGATCAGAGTTTGGGATCACCTGATCCAGAGTCAGCTCAGCAGGGAGCATGGGTAAGGTAGGTGATGACAATGAAACTTAACAGATATAAATGTTCACATTCATATAAACACTTACCAAATGATAAGTAATGAAGGCTTGCCTGGGTAATAGTTCAAAGGAAAAACTGATGTTGGTTTTGTTCATCCTAAAATTACTTTAGACTAAAATATGACAGAACATGTAAAGAAGCACACTGATCAACTAGTATGTGATGAAGATGGGAAGGCTCTATAATTTATAGGATATGTGAAATGACTTTATGAACAATTGGAGACTTCCCTTAAATTGTTGTCATATAGAAGAGAGGAAACACCAGTGCTGTATTACTCCGATGGGCAGGAGTAGAGAGGGTGGGTTTCGGAGCAATGTGAGGAAGAATTTTAAATCAGAAATATCCCGAAGTAGAAAGATCTAGTGGTGGCCAAGAAGAGGTCAAGTGCCCCTCTTTCGAAGAGGTAGGAGACATTTTTGAACCAAGAGAGAAATTGAACTTGATGATTATGAATCTTAACTTTAAGAGTATAAGAAATAAGTTAACTATTTACTCTTAAATTCATATATAAAAATAGGTTGTGCTAGGTGTTTACAAGAACAAATCTTGAAAATTTCATAATACTGAGTTCAAAGTGCTTAATGATTTCCACATATATCCTCCATTTTTAGTCATAAGTTTTTCTGAAAGTCTCATTTTGGAAAGAAACTCTCGATATTCAATTTCTGTTCTACAGAGATTTGTGTTCTTGTAAGTAAGTATTCTGAGTTCCAAGTAGTTAATCAGACTTAGTAAGGACTTTCTTGGGATGGTAAATTTAACTAAGCTGTTAGCTGTTAACCTTTGAAAACGTGAATCTGAACAGAAGGAAAATGTCCAATCTACAGACTGCTTTCTTAATATTTGGCTACAATGTTGCTTAATAGAGGTTCAGAGTGTACACTTTTTAAATAGACTTCGAAATATCATGTGGATATTCTTTATACTCAGTGAGGTGTAATACATTAACATTGTTACCACACATGTTGGGTAAAGGAAAGATAGCTTTATTGAGGAAACTGGCAATCCTGGGGAGAAGGTGGCCTCATGTCCCTAAGAACCAAGTCCCAACTCCCCAGGTTTTGCTCAGAGATTATATAGGGAAAAGAGGAAGGAGCTGCGTGCTGGGAAGTAGGTAATCTTTCTATTTTCAGGGATGGTTGTCTCAATCACGTGTTTCCAAGTAGCTGTCAAGTCTTGCTTGAGGTTGGAATATTATCTGAGCCATAAATCTTTGGTTAGCTATTCCTGGAGAATAAGGCACAAGGGTATATCCTATAGAACAACTAATCTTCAATCTTGATATGCATCAACAACTTGGTCCATCAGCAGCAAGCTAAGTTAATGCTGAAGTAGGGTAGAGGAGCTGAGAGTCTCTAGTTACAGTCTCACTGCCTCAGTTACAATATTTAACTTCCAGCTATGGATTAGTGTTGGTTAAAAAAAATAAATACAGGGTTTTAGTTAATGGGTGGGCATGTAGTGAAGAATGTCTAATCAGTAATCTCCCTCTACCCCAGATAATAGTTAGTGGTAGATCTTAAGGTCTGCTATTCCTGATCTTGCTGTTTTGAAATTACATTCATGATATGTAGAGTATTCTGATTCTGCCTGGTTTATTTAAGAGAACTTGGAGAGTATATTTCTGATAATAATGTTGATTGAAGTCACTGTTACTCTCAAGAATCTCCAGAGCAGGTTCTGAGAAAGAACAGATGTTTGTATATTCTGTTACAAATCCTGTAATTCTCCCTATAGCAATGCTGGATCATAATGCCAGAAAAGGTCTCTTTTATATTATTGAAATATATTTTAAAAGAATAATTTGATTTAAAACAAATTCAAAGCCAATTGCTCTAAAATCCCACCAAACTTACCTTAAAGTCACTGAGAACCTTGTGGCATCTCTAATGTTTATTTTCCCATATGGTACCAAACTCAGAGAACTTTGCCCACCGTGCAGCAAATTGACATGAGCAAGAAGACAAACAGAACAAGACAGGAAGATATTTACTGTACGGACTTTTAAGAAGCAATGGCTATTGACAACTCAACTTTGAACTGAAGATAGAAAACAGTAAGCTACATATAGTTGGCTGAAGTGATAAATAACCATAGAGCCATGAATTATAAATATTCATACCAGGCAGAGGGGCAGGACTGCCTAGTGGAATGATAGAATCAACCATGAAGAAGATAACACTGGGCAAGATAACGTAAGTGACAGTTATTGGGATCAGACAGGAAGAACTAAATGAGTTAGATCTCCAACGATTAAGATATCAGAATGGGGATAAGCAGTAATGTATCAGTTAAGTGAAGAGTGGAAAGGTCAAGACAAGAAGTAACCCCCAAAAGAAATACCAGATATGGAAACAGTAAGACCTAAATAGTTCAAAGCCATTTGAGGTTCCTGAACAATTCTGGGAAAGCAGGTGCCCAGAAAAAATTATGACTCACGTTCATTTGAGTCAACCCTACGCCCAGATAGAATTCTAATTATTATTTAATTACTGATTTAATAATATGAATAATAATAAATGTTAATCAATTATTAAACTGATATTATTCTTAAATTCTATAGAGTAAACATTCTTCAATTCTTCTATATCAAATACTTCAGTGTCCCTATGACACTCAGCCTTCAGCAACCCCAAACCCAATACTCCATGTGCAAGTTCATCAACCTGTGTTAGTGAACCTACTTGTTCTGGTCAAATTAGTTCCATACACCTTCACTGATGACTATTTGGAGAATTGTTCTAAATACTCTTTATCAGTACACACTGTTGTTGAAATTCTTTTTATGTAAAAGTAAACTTTAATTTCTAACATGTCACTTAATGTCCGTTAATTTTCCTTTTAGATAAGACTATGTTTTGTCAAATATCAGTGATATTTGATCAAGACAGTAGGAAGCAGTATTTTTCCATGTTAATTTTCTGGTTATAGGAATCAAATGTAGACTTGGCACCTGCCTACCAAGCTCTGCCAAAGAATGTAGTTAGTGCTTAAAGAAATTCTACTTTTGACACCAGAACTAAGAGTGTGTTGACAGTTCTTTAATGAAGATTTCTGATACAAATCAATGACTTTCTCCTTAAACACATTATCTTCAGGTAAATGCTAAGATTAATGGGTTATATTTAGACAGTTAAAGTGTCAACAGAATTGCTTCTGTTATGCTGATACTATTTTGTGTGCCAGATATATGAGGTATACTATCCAGATGATAAAAATTGAGGATGTCCCAAAGTAAGCAAAAGCTCATTACATTCACCTCTCAATTACTTTAAAAAAAACAACAAAAAACAGATTACTTAATAGGCTTAACTCTGTGCCCCTCACTTCTGCATATTCTTGCTGCCAGGATTTGACTGTTCGTTTCTAGCCATTTGACAGTCCACTAGCACTGTCACCAAAAAGGTGGGAAGGGAAGAAAGAGGAGGTGTAAATCCAGTCAATCAATTTCATAGCTTCATAGCAGTGATGGTGAATGCTTTGGTGGAGGAAGAGTTTTACACAAATGGCTAACATGAAAATTTCAGTGTGTTGCCTGATATTACTGTTTCCTGTAATGCTCTAATCTCTAGTACTCTCAACAACTTGACAAGTTGCACAGCAACTTGAAGTAGATATATATCAACTCAACAGCATTGCTGATGTTTACTCATGTGACACACCTTAGCATTTTCTGAGTAATATCTTGTAGATCACTACCATTATGAAATATTCATACTTTTTGTTTTAAAAAATCTAGCAATTTTGTTTTCTATTGTATTTTGTGTTTCAGTAAAATAGCTGATTCATTCTGTGATTTCTAACAATCCAACCACTTATTAGAAGGTGGTGATCACTTGAATGCTTTGTTGATTGTGATAAATGGCAGAATAAATAGTAATATGCTGAGAGTCAAAAACCACAAAAATAAATACATACAAAATAATATCCATCAACATATGTTAGGCAAAATATCTCCTCTGCAGATACATCATACCTCTGCCATGTAGAGAAGGTTTTATGAGATTCACTTCCAATTTTAGATTGTTTAATTTCTAAAATAATGGTTCTTAATGATATGGCAAATTACAATTCTTCAAATTCTTAAGAATTACTGGCATAAGTCTTTGTGTAGTTCATTTATAACATAACTACAAAATGGAAGAGGGAAATATTTTATTCTCATTTATATTATACAAATAAACATTATGCTTTTAAAATATCTACTTGCTTGGTAAATTTCTACTGTAGATTTTATTGATGAGGCTAATTATTTTTTTAAAGTAGCCCTCAGAAAGCTATAACTCAAATCTAAGTTGTTTCTGGATCTTTTTATTTATGTGCAACCATAACTGATACCTTATCTGATATAAATATGTATATTTTAATGCACAAGGATCTCTAGTACTGTTTATACCGCTTGTTGAAACTGTGAGAGATGAGCATAAGATAAATTCCAAAATTTCATTTTCTCCAACTCTGTTTTGACTTGCCTATTGTTTCATCTTTCATCTATTAAGGGAGAATATCTCATCAAATCACTATCAGTCATAAAATATACATTAAAAACAAATAAATCCAGCATACATTTATTGTCATAGCAGTATCTCCAGTATACTAGAGAAGCATATTCTCCCAACAAAAGATGTTTTCAGAAATAAAATCAATCAGAAAATTTAATACACTTCATCCAAATTAAAGTTTTCCATATAAAAGCAGATAAGGTGCCTTTGGCTATTACCAGTTCCTTGCATAGATGGGCCCACAAATTTAGAATACATCTGTTGTAAGCCAGGCAGTGGATAAACCTTGTCTTTTTAAATGTATCGACAATATTGCTGTCTTGTTTATTAGAAAAAACTGATTTTTTATAACACATTACAAAAATAGGAGTAGGTAACCAATCACCTGAGAAATCTACTTCACTTCTGATGAAAAAAAAAATTAAGTTGGCAGCCTACCAATTTATTTTATAA